CTAATCACATCAATTAATAGCGTCCTGTCTAGATCTGAAAAGAAAACACTAATGTTTAATAAAATAACTTAATGGCATCATTTTTTTAATGATTTTCTTGAAGAAATAAGAAAAGCCTGATATTGTGGGGTTTTAAGCTTGATTTCCGGCTTCCAATAGAATTTGTAAAAAAACCCATTACATGAAACAAAACTAATTAGGTACGGATATCCATATTTGAATCATAATATTGACGTGCTGCATTTTGATAACAAATTACAAACCACAAAATTATTTATTCATATTGCTTCAAAAAGGTATTTACTAACAAGTAATCAAGTATACAGGGTGATTCATTAACAATGGGAAAATCGAAAGCTGAAATGGTGACCGTTAGCGCAAACATGCCTTATCCGAAATTTGATAGTTTCGGAAATACAGGGTGTTGAAAGTTAAAATTTTAAATCGTTTTTTTGCGATTATTCTGAAAATATGTAGGTTAGGAACTTGAAAATTTGTGAAACTATATTTTTTTAGGCGACGAATAAGATGCGTGTTGTAATTTCAGCATTGCTCATAGAGGGCGCCACTTACGACCAATTTTACCGAAAATTTAGTTAATAACTTTTTACCCTGTATGTCTAACATGAAACTTGATTCAAAACCTGAAAGAGCAATCATTTTTCCATTAATTATGTATTCTTGTTTCATTTCGGTATCTCGATCCGTTTTCGAGAAAAATCGATTTAACGAACACTATGTTTTGATAATACGAGAAATTAAAAGCGAAACAAACCAAGTGTTTCTTCGTGTTATTACAACAATTAACAATAAAACAAATGAAATTCGTAATAATGATTTAAAGTCAGTGTTCGAAGAATCCACCGTTGACATTTACACACTTTACACAACGTTTTCTGAGAGATCTTCGAGTTTGAAACAACATATTGGGATTGCGTTTGACTTCGTTGGCAGCGATTTGTATTCTTTGCCACAACTCTTCACACGAACCAATAGATTCTTCCAAATAGAAAAATGAAGAGGATTGAAGTCCGGACTTCTGGGTGGCCAAGTAAAAATGCTTCCACGGCTTGAAGAAGTTCCACTTTATTTAAGAAGAGACATGTGGTTCATGCACGACGGAGCTCCACCGCATTTTTCTTGGCCAGTGCGTGCATATTTAGATGCAGTTTTTCCAAATCGCTGGATTGGCCATGTAAGCATTTTTGCTTGGCCATCCAGAAGTCCGGACTTCAATCCTCTTGATTTTTCTATTTGGTCTCGAATGAAAGATATAGTTTACAAAGAATCTATTGGCTCGTGTGAAGAGTTGTGGCAAAGAATACAAATCGCTGCCAACGAAGTCAGACGCAATCCCAATATGTTGTTTCAAACTCGAAGATCTCTCAGAAAACGTGTAAAGTGTATCAGTGTCAACGGTGGATTCTTCGAACAATTACTTTAAATCATAATTACGTATTTTATTTGTTTTATTGTTAATTGTTGTAATAACACGAAGAAACACTTGGTTTGTTTCGCTTTTAATTTCTCGTATTATCAAAACATAGTGTTCGTTAAATCGATTTTTCTCGAAAACGGATCGAGATACCGAAATGAAACAAGAATACATAATTAATGGAAAAATGATTGCTCTTTCAGGTTTTGAATCAAGTTTCATGTTAGACATACAGGGTAAAAAGTTATTAACTAAATTTTCGGTAAAATTGGTCGTAAGTGGCGCCCTCTATGAGCAATGCTGAAATTACAACACGCATCTTATTCGTCGCCTAAAAAAATATAGTTTCACAAATTTTCAAGTTCCTAACCTACATATTTTCAGAATAATCGCAAAAAAACGATTTAAAATTTTAACTTTCAACACCCTGTATTTCCGAAACTATTAACTTTCGGATAAGGCATGTTTGCGCCAATGGTCACCATTTCACGTGTAGTATCTTCAGCTTTCGACTTTCCCATTGTTAATGAATCACCCTGTATAGTGGCAAATTATATTTGGTACTAACTTCACCTTATGGCCAAGTGAGAAGTGTTCATTTTGTTAGTAAAGATTTAGCTTTTAATTATTTTGTAATCGGATCCCAACATTCTATTTAAAAAATCCCAGATATATCAGTTTATCTTGTTGATGCTATTAATCTGTAAATATTTTATTCACATTATGTGTACTTTTCAATCAAGTAATTCCATTAATGTCCATTAAATGATAGGATCAGAGTTTGGATACATAAAAAACATTAAGATTATAAATAAAAGGGCTTTTAGAAACATAACATATTTCGTATTATTACAAGTGTTAAGTGTTTCATTATTTATGTCACATATCACGACATGCTGTTATTTTAATAGATGAATACTTTTTTTAGCCAACTAGCATCATTGCAAGGTAGTATAATAAAGGGTGATTCAGTTAGATAAAACCCGTTGTTTTTTGAAAAACTGCTGATATTTTTATTTTGTTATAATACTTAGACATTGACATTAAACATGAAAAATGATATCGGCTAAATGACCGCCACGAGCAGCCTGGCAGACTTCCGCCCTCTTGATAAAATTGTCCATTGTTCTTCGGCATAAGTCCTGTGGAAGCTCACGAATAACGCGGCGAATCTCGTCCTTTAGCTCTGGAGTTGTTCTGGGATTATTGGCATAAACTTTTTGTTTCACATAACCCCAAAGAAAAAAATCCAATGGCGTGATATCACATGACCTTGGTGGCCAATTTTGATCGCCGAAACGAGAAATAACGCGGTTGGGAAATTTTGTGTGCAACAATTGCAACGTTTCTGGTGCTGCGTGGCATGCACCGTCTTGTTGGAACCACTCACGTCTTCCGCATCAATGTTCTACGATTCATGCCAAAAAAAAATTCCGTAGCATGTCCCGATAACGTTCACCGTTAACTGTTACCGCATCACCGCGATCATTTTCAAAAAAGTACGGCCCTATCAGTCCGCCGACCCAAAATGCGCACCAATCTGTAACTTTTCGTGGATGCATTTGGTGTTCCTTAATGGCTTGCGGATTTTTAGAACCCCAAATTCGATAATACTGTTTGTTTACGTATCCGTGGAGTTGAAAATCAATTTGGTGATGCTGCAATACCCAATCAACAAAGATTATTACCGAAGTAACCTCGCAATGCACGAATCGTGTTTTTCGTGAATTTTCTCCATTTCGAAAATAGGTTTTAACAATCAAAATACGTTCTTCTATGGAATACCGCTCCATAATCATAAATGTCAATATTTACTAATGACACATGTCAAAAATCAACTCTTTATTGTTGCCAGGAAACCCGTGTTGCCATATTTAAATTGAAACCTCGAACTGAATCACCCTTTAATTAAATTAAATCGACAACTTATCATTTTGTTTCGATTAAAACTTTGAAAATATCGTAAATAAAACGTCGATTTTCTTTTCAAGGGGGCATAAGTTTTGGTGTCTTGAAAACTACCCCTTTGGCAGGGGAGTAAGATACCCTTAAATTTTAAATGGCACCCTATGTTGTGACACCTCATTTTAAAGCTTTTTCAATTTTTCTCACGACGACATACAACATTTTAAATTTTGGTTTGAATATGGCAATAAAATCATCTCTTAAAGCAACAAAATAGCAACGAATGAAAGAATGTTGTTGTTAAATGTTTAAATTATTAAACGAATATTTCGAAACATTTCGGGCGTTGTCTGGCGACATTCTTCAACAATTCGCTGATGAAGCTTTTCAAGTGAGTCGGCCGTGTTGCATAAATTTACGACTTTAAGAAAAATGTCTAATGATGTTAGATCTGGCAATCTGGGAGGCCACTCTTATGCTAGCTCTTAAAGTTTATGGGTATTTTGCGTCCCTTTACGAATAAATAAACATATTAACATTTTTAATTAATAACCTGTATTTTCTTTCAAAATTACTTCGTGCGTGAATTTTGGGACACCCTCTATAATATCAATGATATATTATGATCTTGGGCATCCGAACAAACTTTTTGTCAAATTCAATTTAATTAACTGGAAATAGGTACTTGATTATCAAAGAAATCACCTTGTTTTTTAATTTTTTTTAAGCAGATTAGATTATGTGTTATGTAGATACTTGTAGACTTGACTTTTATTAATCATCACTTTAGATACTAACAGTATCTGACAGTAGAGCTTGAATAATACGGATGATCTTCTGAGCTTCCAAAAGGGATGAAAGAAAAATATATTTTTAATAATAATAATACAACAGTTTAAATAAAATAGGTATGTTAAATTTCACATTTTAGAGAAAAACTGGAGTAGACCCTTGTGTATATTCATAATATATTCTAGTCATCTATACATGTATATTGCGTTAGATATGTTCTATGAACGCTGTGTAATTTTGCATTTTGTGATAGACAAGGCAACTTACATTACATTCATTTGTATTACAGGTTGCCTAATACACTGAAACTGGAAAATAAATGAAAAGAATGGGGTGTTGCATAAAAACGCGTACTGTTTTATTATTGAATAATACACTTCTACAGTGAAAGTTAGAAGAACTATACAATTAATTTTGCAAACATCTCATGTACTTTTTATTAGAATTTTTAATTGTTTTTGTTAAATTAGCACGCCATTTCTATTAAATTTATAACGTATGAAACTATTATTCTCTGTCTCAGTTATTAAACAAAAGAAGGACAATGTTTTGAGATTTTAGTTGGGCTTCCCATTTATAGATGGTGCCACCAAAACATCACGTCATACATCACAATTTACAAATCTCCTTTCATATGATCTTTCAGTTAATTTTTATGGATCTAGGGACTTTACTAATTCTTAGACACTAGATTCGCCCTAATTCTATTCCTTCTACGCCGTTTGTATTTTATTTTATTATTTTATCAGAAAGTTAGTAGTAGGCACGAATGTCAATTGTTTCAGTGAAAGATTACGATTGTGATTTGCATCTGATTGTGTTAATGTGTTTTATATTCGGTTAGTAAAAGCATACACGTGTCAAAAACAAAAATATTTATTCAAAACCAATCACATTTCTATCACAGATTATTTTGAGTTACATGTTTCTTGTTGCTATTATTTGATTTAAATATGAGAAGACTACTGCTACCTAACCTCACAGAACACATTCGTTACCAAAGACAACACAGTAAAAAATTGTTCAGGTACTGAGTATATTTATTCAAAGTTGCTACTTTTCTGGAACTTTTTCCTTCTCCTTTTTACTGAGAGGGTCCCAAGTCCGAAGATCGCCGCTTGCGAATATGAAATAAAATAGGTTTGTGCTTATGTAGAGGGCTGTGGACATCAGGAATATTATGCTCCAGTTGTTCTGGTCGGTCTGCAACAAAAAAAAACTATGAATAACTTCATTCTCTACACCAATCCTTGGTAAAAGTTAGTATAAATTGTTTACATATTGCAAATAAAAGCAAGTAACAATTTTCTAGAATGTACATAACTTAAGTTGATAAAACTGAATAATTATTAAGTCGCCAAAATTGACATATAAATTAGAACCAGTTCTGTGATCTCCGATTTCTAGGCCAATTTATCTGAACTATAAAATTTATTACAGTGTATTGGATTAAACAAATACTAATGACTCATTGATTCACTCCATTGTCAAGAACATATGTATTTATTTTAAAATTTATCTTGGTAAATACATATTATCAATCGGAAATAGTAGCTTTAAATAATGGTCAATCATCGACATAATCTGATATAGATTGCGTTTTATATTCTAAATCGTAAGTTGTTATGACTCCAAATATAGAAAAAACATTGCTACATCAAACACTTAAGAAAAAAGGATCATTCGAACTATTTGAAAATATAGATCTACTTTCAAGTACCGCTTTGGATATAACTTTTTAGGCAGTGAAACTGATGATTTCAAGGACAGACCAAATGAAGATATACCGCAAATACTGTGCTACGTTCTGATGTCTACTTTTTATTGAAAAAAAATAAGAATAATCACCTCGTCTCTAACTATGATTTCCACGGTGAACTGCGGCAGAATGTTGAACACGTTGGAAATGCTGTTAGAAAACCCTTTTATGATACCTGGAAAAGTCGGGGTTAAGTCGAAAACGTTGGCCGAATGTCCGCTGTACATTGCAGAGCTGGCACCAGCTGCTATAATGAGTAGAGCGTATGCCCAGATCTTGGCGTCTTCTGGAAGGTACCCCAGTACTATTACAACAAGAGCAGGCACTGCCATTCCTGAAAAAAAAAAACAGTTCTTAAGTAATTTGCAAATATATTAACTATAGTCTGTTTAGAAATGAAAGAGTAATAAAAGCTTATTATGTATGCAAATCATAAATAAATGTAGTACTGGTGCTTATATTCAATATTTTTATATTATGTATTATCGATATAGATGAGGTGTACTTTTAAGAAAACTTTTTGTGACCGGGTAAATTGTAGCAGATAGCTAAAATTTAATCCCCGACAATCCGTCTTTGTCTATGCCGCTTCAATTTCTCGGTCCATTTCTCTTATAAGTAAACAATATAAAAACAGCATTTCAAAACATGAGGCTACTTTAAGCATCATAACCGGGTTAAGAGGGTTTTTAGTAATTCAAATAAAATTATTCAATATTATTATCAAAATATTTATTTAAATTTAATGAATAGACTTTTATTCCACACAAAAATATATGTATTTTGAAAATTCAAATTATGGTGAGTAAATGTAGTGTTGTATAAATGTACAATAAAGAAAATAAAAAAGTAGGTATATTAAAATTCATCCTCTGAATATTCTGATGAATTATCTTCGTCTCCTAGATTGATAACGATAGGTTCCACAGTAACGTCAATTAAATTATCGAGTTCCCACATTTTCTCCTCTTCTTTTTGTACATGATGTATACATCTTTGCCAGTTATCTGCAGTTACTCGTTCCAAGGAATTTTTTAACAAAATTTTCACGTCACTTAATTTAAACGTCGTATTATTTCGCGCTACATCTCCTTTTACCTGCGCCCAGACTAATTCGATTGGGTTAAGTTCACAGTGATAAGGTGGTAACCGTAGTACCGTTATTTGGCGATTTGTTGCCATTTCATCGATAACATATTTTTTCTGATCTTTATTAAGATTGACAAGTGTCAAAAGTTCCTTTTTCACCATATTTGTTTCAAAAGAAATGTTTTTTCCGGATAACCATTGAATTATATCGGCTTTCCTCCAAGCAGTCGTAGGCGTCCGCTCGGTCTGCCGTGAATGGTAACTGGCATTATCCATGACAATTACAGACCCCGGAGGAATAAGATCCAACATCTGTGTAAAATACTCTTCGAAAACATCTGCGTTCATGTCTTCGTGATAGTCACCTGTATTTTTAGATTCAAATAAAAGTAAACCGCCATCTACAAAACCACTGGCACTACCTATATGTGTCACTATTAATCTTCGCCCTTTACCTGAAGGTGCCTTGAACCCTGTTGAAAGTCCATCCAAAAATGCTTGTCGAAAACTTTTTACATTTTTATCTTGCCATACTTTTGTTACAGTATATCCCTCGTTGACCCAAGTTTCGTCTAGATAATAAATATTCCTCCCTTCGTCACGGAATTTTCTAATTGATCTTAAGTAGGATCTTCGCCAACAAATAATTTCATCTTTATCGATAAGAACTGACTTCCTGTTCTGCTTTTCCCAGCAAAAATTCAACTCTCGTAAGACGGCCCATAATTTGCTTCTACTGATTTTTGGCAAATCGTTGTCCTCTGAAAGTTCACTTAAAATTTTGTTTAGCGTTGGTATTTCTTTTTTAAAATAAAATGAGTGTACTTTTCTGCGAATGACATTTTTGAAGAAATCATCTATAACGACTTTTGACCTCCCTGTAGATGATTTTGGGGGATTTACAGTATCTTGTTCATTTTTTGTTTCCTTTAAAAGTCTGTAGATAGTCGATTTTCCAATCCCTGTCATTTTTGTTAGCATTAGTGTTACCCGATAATTACCTGAAACGAAATATTACCACGCCCATGGCCGGTTCTTATCTCGGGGTTTTATTACTCTCTTTCATTTCCAAACAGACTTATACATATATCTGATTCATTACAATTAAAACCATAGAACATTGAGGTTTGTACAAGTACTTGCTAAACACCCTGTTTATCGCTGGATTTGTACTTTTTACATCTATCTACATTTGGAAGCAATACGCAATAAAAAAGAGAATTACAGATCATCCTGTACATCTTAAAATTTCCGAGAATTCATCATATATTTATCTATTTATTGCAACTGTTATTGTATCTTTCCAATTCCTGAAATATCAATAATTAAACTTCCCAAACTTTTATTATTATTATTTCTCCTAGTACCTGTCACTGAAACAACCAATAAATCATTAAAAATATAAATCATTCGATAGATCTAAATCAGATTTATCTGTACAATTTGATGCTGTTCAAAATATATATTTAACCACAAATTATCTGAATTAGTGATATAGATGGAGTGATTATTTTATATTTATCTTTGATTTAAAAACTTAATTATGCTCGTATACTACCAAACAGCTTACGCGTTAGTTTTGGAAGTGTCTAGTGATCCAGCGACATAGTACCCTGTTTTTTTTAAACACACATTCAAGAGACAAATGAAACGACTCTTCCCGTATTTTCTCTACACTGAAACGAAACGCTATAAAAAAGACGCGACACTTACCGATCGTGGTGAATAATTTTCTGGCGAACAGCTTCGTCACGTATTTATTGACGATGAGGTGGTTAGCGATGAAGCAAAATACGAAGCACATAAAAAACGTGGCTATGTAGGGAGCAGAAGCCAGTAGACTATTCTGAAAAAAAAATCGAACGTTAGTTTCTAGAACCCTTGTGATTCGAGTGCGATAACTTACCGACGCTATATCCATTTTCATTATTTCACTCATGTAAGTGGGTATCTCGCTCTGTATGATGATGGCGCCCCAGGTTTGCCCCAGATACGCCATAACCGTGGCCCATACTGGAAGGGATGTGAATATGCGCCTCCAGGGGGTGCTTATGTACTGGAATATGAAAAAAGTAGTTAGGTTTCATTTTAAACTACAAAGCGACTTCAGAAACTTGTTAAAATTGGCAAAAAGGGAGAAAAGATCCCATATGCCAATTTTTTTTTATATTAATGCGTACCTTGGCGTTTTCATTCATGCCCAGCGAAGTTTCTATGAACGTTTTCTCTTCTTCAGTGATGCTGATGTGTTCTGCTGGACTGTTATATCCGAATAATACCCATAGGAAGACCCATGTAAATCCCAACAGTCCGAAAAAGTAAAAAGTGACGGGCCAACCCAGTGATGTGGTAGAAACGTAAGAGGTTAACAAAATCGTGACAATGTTACTGAAGGGGGTGCCTGAAATGAAAGCGAAACAATGAAAACATGTTTTTTGCTTATACGGTGTTTATAATACATACAGGGTGGTCCCGAGGTAATGGGCCAAAATTCATGGGTAGATTCCCGAAGCAAAAATATTGCGATTTAGCCGAACTTACCTTAGTCCAAAAGTTGATAGTTAAAGAGATACAGGGTGTTAAATGTAAAATATTATTTTAGTTTATTTCCATTTATTTCTTAATAAATGCAAATATCTACACAAAATTTTGGGGTTTGGGGTTCTTTGGATAGAGGAATTGAAATTTGTTCACATTTTGGTTATAGTTCATAGAGGGCGCCAGCTGCCGTAGATTGAAGGTGTTGGAAACGACATAACTTTTTTGTACTTTAAGGTATCTCATCTTTGGTATCAAATTCTTATTTTCCAACTTTTTTTACACAAAAAAGGTAGACTTTATGAAAGTAGCTGTCTCGCACCGTTTCCGAGATATTTGGCTTTGAAACTTCCAATGCTAATAGTTGAAATAATTAAAATAATTTAGAAATGTCAAAAACAAGGGTTTATTTAGAATTAAAAATTGTAATGAACAGTAAAATAGTAAACATTAGTAAAAAATATGCCTTTTTGACAATAATTGCTCAAAATGTCCACCTCTAACTTCAATACATTTATCAACACGTTTATTAAAAGATTGTCTTATTTTAAAGTATAAATCCTTAATGCGAAATGACTTTGCAGCATTTAAAACCTGCTACTAAAGTTCTTCTCAAGTGTTTATAGTTTCTCCATAAACAACTGATTTCATGTAACTCCAAAAACGAAAACCTCGGCATTCTATCTCACATTTATGTACGAGTATACAATTTAATTTGTAAGCTAAGATGTGATTTTAATTAGATACGAATAATACTTAATAGAAATTAGCATACAAATGACAGTAATAAGACAAGTGGAAGACGTCAATTATTTGATTTGCGTCCAAATCCTACTTAAGAAACTTTACCACTAAATTAATAATACCTGTAGGTACTTAATTGTAATTTAATGCAACAGCATTGGAAGTTTCAAAGCCAAATATCTCGAAAACGGTGCGAGATAGCTACTTTAATAAAGTATACCTTTTTTGTGTAAAAAAAGTTGGAAAATAAGAATTTGTAACCAAAGATGAGATACCTTAAAGCACAAAAAAGTTATGTCGTTTTTAACACATTCAATCTACTGCAGCTAGCGCCCTCTATGAACTTTAACCAAAATGTGAACAGATTTCAATTCCTCTACTCAACGAACTCCAATCCCCAAAATTTTGTGAGGATATTTGCATTTGTTAAAGAATAAATAAAAAAAAACTGAAATAATATTTTACATTTAACACCCTGTATCTCTTTAACTATCAACTTTTGGACTAAGGTAAGTTTGGCTAAATCGCAATATTTTTGCTTCGGGAATCTACCCATGAATTTTGGCCCATTACCTCGGGACCACCCTGTATATTAATTTTCTACAAAATTTTCTCTCTTAACAGTAAATAATTTTCGTCTCTATAGCAGGGAAATGTAATTTTATGTTAATTAGATAGCTTGGAGACATTTATAATCTCCTAAAACAGATTAATATAATAATTATATTAATATAATTAACTAAAATCCATTGAATTCATGCCGGGACATCTGGCAGGTTATAAAATTTTACTGTTTTGTTATTTTTATTTTATTTTATTTTTATTATTGAATTATGAATGTATTGTTGAATTATTCGGAATTGTAAAACCCTACTTTGCGTTATATCTAATCTTGGAATTCTAAATGCTTCCAAAAACGCAACACCCTGTAAGAAGTATCAAGAAAACAATACGGTTTGCATTGTTATAATACCAAGCACGATTTCATAATTAAAACAACTTTAAATACAATACATCCATAATCTAAACAACGGATAAAAAAATTCCGTAAAATTTTATGATCTCGTAGAAGTCCCGATCTGAATTCAATGGACTTTTATTAATCATCATTGTATTGAGCAGTTTATCATAAGTGTGTCTAAGCTACTTAAGTGATATAAATCAAACAAGGTATTTTTTTCTACAAAACAACTGAAACTTCATGTTTATAGCACTCTTGAAATTACTAACAATATCTTTTTTTTTTCGATGTTTCAAAAAAATTGGAGTATTTTGTTTAAGATAACTATTAACAACATTTTTTTTTATGCATTTACAAATTTAAACGCCATTTTTAAGCAAAAAGTGGGAGGAAAAGATTTTTCCATCCCAAAGTGAGATACACCGTGACACAAAAAGTTTTAGTAGCTTAAATACGTCCTATTGGTCGCTTGTGGCGCCCTCTAGATGATACAACGAAATCCTCGATAAATTCGAATATCTCGTCCCAAAAAACCGCCGGATACGAAATTTCACGAAATTAGCTCGACGTAGTCGAAATATATTAAAGAGAATGTTATTTATTTCTTTTAACTTCAACACCCTGTATCTCGAAAACTAAGCTTTTATGAGCAACATTGTAATATGACTTTTTCCGATAAATTTTCGGCATAGTGGTAAAGTTAGGCTACCTATTTGAAAATAACTTTTTTTTTAAGACTTTGGTGCCCTCTACCGGTTAATTTATATTGAATTGAACGTAGCAATAAAAAAAAAACTAGAAAATTTTTGCAACTGACTCAATATCTAAAAATAATCTTGGTTTTTCCGCGTTCAAGCCCTCTGATCCGTCGCCTCGTATCAAGGATTAGCATCGCTAAACGCACGTTATAAAGCAATTTCGAATTTATTGCGCTTTTTTTTTGGAAATCGGAACGTACCAGATAACGCCAGAACGCAGCTCCTCAGCCTCTCCGCCGGCGGGATCCACTGGCCGATGAGGCTCTGAATTGAGGGGAAGAAGAACCCCTGGGCCAGCCCCTGGGTCACCCTGCACACTATCACCCCCGTAGAACCGAACACTTCCGCTACAACGGGGATTATTATAAAGGCCATGCAGTTGATGCACATCGCCGTTGTCAGCAACCACTTGGTGCCGTAGACTTTGCCCATCTGGGCCCCTACGACTTGCAGAAATCCAAAACCCCAGTAGAACGAAGTCAGTATGACTCGCTTGTTGTCCCAAGTGTAAGTCTGCAACAAAGAAATCGATTATTATTTTTAAGCGGCGTACACAAGCGGGGGCTTTGAGGGTTACAACCCCGTCGCCTTCAATGACACGTAACTGCAAAGTGAAAAGCTTAAAGAGAAATTTAACGAAAAAGAAAATAGTTAACACCATGTTAGTACTATTTAATAGGTATAAGTGGAATACGGACAGTTGAACACATGATTCGTCGTTGACGTCAGAAAACAAAGGTGGAGAAGAAATTTATCTGTATTCAGCTTTAAGCCTTATTTTTTTTAATAGTAGTAATAGTAAATGGACACATCATTGGACAGCCCGTTTAAACACATTTAAAGTAGAAACGTCAAACACCATTCGTGTTTAAAAGGACTATCCAACGATATGTCACTACTTACTTTAATTTTTCAAAAACGTTCAATTTAATTCGATGAATTTTATTGTAAACATACGCACGTATGTTTTCAGTCCTGAAAATTGAATAATTCCAAATATTTCGAATTTTCACCACCAAGAACGGCGGTGACAACATTTTTAACATTAAAGCGATGTTTCTCATCGTATTAGCTATGTCCTATCCAAATTTGATTAGTGCATCTCTCCCCCTTTCGAAAATTCAATACCTATTACCATATTTTTAAATACTAAACACTGATTTTTGGAGCAAATGATAGATGTTTGAGAAAGATCTCCAATTTCTTAGGCATTACAAGTTGTCAGTTTGTGAAAAAAGTATTGACTACTTTATTAGAGAGAAAAAAATGAGAACGTCTCTAATACCTAAGCGACACTATTGGGTTGACTTTTGTATGCGCATTGGAAAGTTTGTCTAAAATTATTGTTTTGTTCCCAAAGTGACAGAACTATTCTGGGATTCCCCGTATAAATAATAAGGAATTAAAACGGCCTAATCTCTACAAATTACGGTTAGTATTAAAAAAAATGAGATGTCATATTATTATAATAAATGTATAACTTTTTGTACTTGTAGCAATAACGATACCTAGAAATGTAAATTTCCATCAAATATGTTCATTTTTACGTGACTTCTTGTATACAGGGTGTCTCATAATTAGCTGCCAACCCTGAACAGGCCGATTCTATGATCAAAACTAAGTAAAAAAGTTTATATGAACATGGGTCCGGAAATGCTTCCTAAGGGCACAGGGACCCATTGAACAGGGAGGGAGGAATCATTTTTTTGCAATATCTCTCAATCGCGTTGTGATAAATGAATGAAATTTGGTATACACAGCTAAATTTTGATGAGCAATTTGATGGACTAAATCCATTTATTTCCACGAGGTCCATTGGGGTGGGTACGGGGGGGCCCTTGGTACTTTGCGTGTGTAACTTTTTCATCTTTGACTTTTTAACAAATTGAACAGCAAATTCCGTTTTCCCGAACTATTTTACGTTAAAAAGGTACTCTTGCTTCAAATCGTTATCTTTAACGGTTTCTGAGAAAATCGCTCTTGAATTAATCCCACTTTGGTCAATTTCATAGTAATTAAAAAAATTTTTTTTTTTAAATTTAATCTAATTTTTAAAAAAAATAATAATAAAAAAATTAATCCTTTAAATGGAAAAGAGAGGAAAGGAACATTATTATAGAATCGGCCTGTTCAGGGTTGGCAGCTAATTATGAGACTCCCTGTATATTTGCCGATATAGTTTATTGTTTATAGTTATAATTAAAATAATTAAAAAAAAACATATTAAAAAATAGATCATTTGTTTTAAGGAGAACGTAAAACAGGTGCAGAAGTAGAAATCTAAACGTCACTATATTTAAGTATTCTTGTCAAAAAATGACGATTTGATACTTAAAATTTATTATTAATATTGAAAATTACGATTTATATAGACTTTACGATCAATTTTTAACATTTAAAATAGAAAATAAGGAAAACGAATACGAGAAAAGAAAAGATTGCAGACATTTAAAAACGTTTGTCAGCCAGATTGATTCTCTAATCGAGATATTGCAAACAGTACAGGGTGACTCAAATTATAAAAAAAATTGCGCAGTGCTTTGTTAAAGCTTTTCCATAAATCAGATCTTACATATTTCAACTAATTCGTAAAATGTAACGAATAAACTGGAAAAATAGTGTTTCTCTTTACTTCGCCGTGTATTTGCGTTGTATATTTGTTTATAAAGAGAGAAATTCAATTTTTACGCATAATTACCCTACTGATTACAGTAATGAAGATTTTCTCTGTATTTCACTGTTTTTATGTACGATAATCAACTTTTTCTATATTGATCTTTCGTATATGGTTCAATGAAAAGATATGCTGCGTTTTTATGTTATATCTCACAAATTTAAAGAAAAATCTCGGCAAAATACAGTGCAACTTTTTTTAATTTGAGTTGGAAATTGAGATTTGATATTTGAATATCCTTATAATCTTCCATCCTCTAACCTTTTTTTCTATAAGGACGGTAATAGTGTTGTATTTAAGTTTACTACAAATTTGCTGAATATACACACAATTGTGTTACATAATTACTAATAATGTCCCAAAATTTGCCATCGTGCTAATAATTAAAAAATTTCGACAACGTATTCGATATCTTCCGAATCTTCAAGCAAATTCATTTACTGTAATTTGTTTGGTAAAATTATTCACAACCGGAATAGATACCAAGAACAACATTAACACTAAAGCTAACTAGTTTAATAAAAATAATAATAAAGGCGTAAAAGTCATAGGTGTAACAAAGAACTTTGACTACGCATGCCTACATCGAATCTATTTCATAATTAAAAAAAAAATGTTGAAGAATTTTAAATAAAAATAAAACATATGGTGATAGAATATGTTTTAGTAGATATTTTAACAATATAGGTACTACTTTCAATTACAAATACGGAAATAGATATAAATTATTAAATTCAATTAATGTGAAATTATACGAAAGTGATTTTTTCCACGATTACAATAATTGTAACAGATTTTTTCACAAAAAGCACTTGTTCCATGTAGTATTGTTCGAGACATTACGTAGTAGCAAGTTTTTATTACGCAATAGTCTAGTTTTTGGTTGACTATCCGTTAATATTCGTAAGATTTCTACCTTTAAATTAACACATTATATAAAAAAATGTAAGACTTACGGGTATATTGGGGTTTTCGTTGAAAGTACCATCTGTCATAGCGTCCAATCCTACAGACAAGTTGAGTCTGGTACAGGATGATGATGTGACAAGGAGAAACAAGAGTATCACCTGCACGTGACGCTTGCCAAAGGTAGGACCTAAAAACGAAACCAAAATTCAAATTTTCTTCAATCGCATGAAGAAGAAGTCAATGGTCGATTAAAATTTTTCACTGCTTTTGTGCCACGTTTTATTTTTTATATAGGGCCAACGCCTCTACGCCCACAACTCACCTTTGCCATCGCTAACTACAGGTTTTTCGCCCTTTTCAATATCAAACCTTCCCAGCTTCATCTTGACTGTTGCCTTACCACTCCTTACATACTATACAACGACTTCTAATTCATGTTAATACCTTTTATATATATACCTATAATCACTTATCAATAGATTTCCCTCACATTTAAAAATAGATCCAAACGGAATTATCTCCTGGTAAATCAGAGTGCTATTTAAAAATAGTAACTTCCCTCTTTCCTTCCCAGACTGATAACATATTTTTATAGAAAAATATTTACAGATCGACAATTTTCTTAGTCCTCTGGAAGTTACTTAACATAAAAAATATTAGATTGTGGCCATAAATAGTAGTATCATGCCGATCTGCGCTAAAAATATACAGGCAAATCCCTAGTTCTGCTAATATAATATTGATTGATAGATTAATAGACAATGCAGTTATTGCCAAGATAAACAGTAAATAATTTGTTTATTCGTTGAACAATACAAAAACGTTATGAAATAGTGTTTCATTTGTTCTATATGTGTTAGTTAATAAGTGTTTCTTTTTGGCTTATTAATTTGCCAAATTATATTGGTAAACTTTCCAGTTTCGTTTAATCGACAAAAAAACTGGATCTAGATCTTTGCTCCTTGATATTTCGCTTCACTTTCGAATATCTTGAAAGGTAAAAAGTCCGAAGCTACTGCGAAGATCGCTGCGGGACCTCTACGGAGCCACCATAGAGGTTGATCGAACGTCAACCCTGCTTTATACCTTGTGCACTAACCATGATGAAATCCTGATCAATGCTCAATACTTTCACTGACTTTCAAGCTCATCGTAGTATACATTCTTCTGCATATCACAAGCCTATACAGGGTGTTTATTAAGTACTTGTACAAAATTTAAAGGGTAAATTTTTGACTAATTTTAAGATAAAAATGACCATGGGTCCTCAACGGCTTAATTCTTGAGATACAGTCACAATGTCGCGAACTGTGACAATTTTTTGAAAATGTATTGCTTCAAAAATTCTTAAACAAAAACCGATTTTTTGAGAACTTACACTACAAAAACAGAAATTTGTCAGTCGATAATTTATTTATTTGTCTAAGCATTGTATTGTATTTGTTAATATATATTGTTATCGAATTTTGACCATAAAAATGTGTATCTATAATCCCCATAAACTAAAATTATCTACATCAAAAGTGTTTACTGCACTTTCACTAAACAAAGTTGCACCAAGTGATCTAGTTTTTTTAATTTTTTTAAATTAAATCTGTATAGTACTGTTTGTTTTATCGCTATAAATTCTTATTTCTTCATCAACAATGTCACACTTTTGATTATTTTTTAAATATCATCTCTCTGCAAATGTAAATTTATATTAAAATTTATTTGAAATTTAAGACCAATGCATATATTCTTTATTTTCATATACCTATATTTTTTTATCATATATATTCATTTTTCTATACTTTTCATAGTTGACTTAATTGTTAACTTTGTTCTATAATTGACATTGGACAAATAATTTATATAAGTAACTAACTATAGTTGTATTTAAATTTCTATAAGTGCGAAATAAGATATAAAATTAATGCGTGAATGGTCACTGCTGCCAAACTGACAAAGAGCTACCTGCTGTTTCATGGGAAAGAAAAATCTTTATCGTCATAATGCAGAAAACAACTGGTGCTATCCCGATCACCATTAAATTATATCAGCGATATCTAGTAGGGGCTAGGATCATTCGTCGGTAAAACCACCAGACATACACCGGTTTGTAACTTCTTAGTTCTCGTCAGTACGCCAACCAACAAATGATCCAGCTATTTTCGATGTCTAAACAGCAGATACAACAAAGTGCTTCGTCTATGAATGGTCAATGGTTTTTTTTTTGACGTAAACAATCCGACCTATTTCGAGTATTTAGAGTATGTCAAACGATTAAAAATGTACTCGCGTCAGCAGAAGACTACGAAAATAAAACATATATTTTTAGCTGGTAAGCTTTAAGACAATGAACCGAAAACAATCAGTCAAAGTTTGATAAGGCTGGCGAAACGTCATATTCGTGCTATCTGGTATAAAACCAGATTTAGTTGGGAATTGTTATAGTCAGGGAGCATATTAACTCTAACATTGAAACTAAAAATATTGTATGAATATTAAAATTATTTTTACATTATTTTTATATCGTCAGTATATCAAACTAATGATCAATATAAATATTATTATGGATTTTGGGCATCTTGTATAAAGTATAGCAAAGAACAAATAGTTGTATTAAATTTTATTTATAGTCGATACCAATTTTTGTATTGCCGAGTAGAAATTTTAATTACAATGTGCTTGGACTAATGAAAGATATTTTCGTGACGAATTGATTCTTATTTAAGTATTAACGGAGACGAGTAAGGTATTTATTGCCCTCAAATCAAGGGTATTAAACTGCATTACTGTATATTACATATAGGTTAAGCAATAAATCTTTGTTTTTCTGATTCAGTAGATTTTTTTAATTAATCCTATATTCAATTATTATAAGTATTAAAATGTCAGATATGCAACACTATATGTATATCTTGATGTGACGTAGGTATAAGTTAATTTTTTTAATTCGTATTTTCCTAGGAGTCCTCAAGGATCCGTTCTGGGACTGTTAATTTGAGATATATGAATACCAGAAGTAGAAAAACAAAACGAATACGCTTTGTTTCATTCGAAAGAAAATACAGTTAGATGCCAGGATCATCCTATGTGCATGATTTTCTTAAATCGTTAAAAAGTAGTACAGATAATTGCATTTTTAGTTCAGTTCAAGTAAGCATATTTCGAGACCGTGTCCGTTGATTGCCGTTTATTAATTTATTGCCAATTATCAGAGTAAATAAACGCCTGTCTGCGGAAATACAGTAGAAGCTCATTCAGTGGCGTACAATTTCAATTGTTTTGACAACTACATTTTTTTATCCCATTCGAATGTGTTACAGTAGCAAATATTAATAGAATGATGTTCCACAAAGGAAAAGTCCCCTTGTGTTAATTTTGGTAATGGAATACAAATATTAATAAATAGTTAGTTATATCATGTTTTGGCGACTAAAAAAAAATTAATTTCAGTCACTAAAGACCAACTTGTAAAACACCTACAGAAATGCATCTGTTCGACAGCATATATTAAAAATTTACAAAATTATCGATTATATTTTATATAGACGATATTACTAACTAGAATTTGTGACGCAAATTACCAACAAATTATACATACATGAAATATCGTATTCAACTTCAATTATTTTTTAGGTTGGTAGTACTGTCCTTAATGTTACTTTGAAGTTTTTTTGTTTTCTAAACAAATTCGTCTTATTTTTTGGACAATGGGTTATGTGACAGAACTGAAGGAACTAATAACCACAGATATAAAAAAGAAATCTTACTGCCCAGTGTTTCAACATTTTTTGAAAATTTTCTTTAAAGAATGTTTCAATAGAAAAACAACATTGTGGTAAAAATGTTTTAGTAAATAATATTTTCACAATGCTATACTACTGCATATTAAACCACAAAGGGAGAAAGAAGTATAATTCAGTAGAATATTAAGTTGTACTGCAATAAAAGTAAAACATGTTTTTGTGAATTATACGAAAGTGCACAGCATACTACAACTATACAACAATTTTTTGCTAGAATATTTTTCCGTGTAAGAGTAAATAAAACAAGAAGTGGTCGAACTATAGATTTTCTGTAGATATGACTAATCCAAACACCGACTTTCTGTGTCGAACTTTGGATAAAATCATAAGTACAAGCACCTTGCAATATCGCAACACAACTCGATTCAATTCAATTCAAATTTATTTCCTAACACCTTCGTTGAGAAACAAGTGTGTTTTATTGTCATAATTTGTAATGTTTGATTTCTTGTCTGGAAATGTCTAGGTCGGTTGTTGTTGATCATTATTACTTAAATTTTCGTTTAATTTTAAGAATCAAATCTTTAAAAAAGCGTAGATGCTACTTTGTTTTGTATATTTATTGGCAACCTTAAATTTTATGTAATTATTCATGTACGAGTATATGAATAAAAAAAATAGCTTTGTTTAATCCTGGACATTTTTAGCACTATCATTGTTTGCTAAATACGTTCCATCTACATTTAATAATAGAGAATATACATATACAAACAATTTGACATTATTATAGCTATAAATATATTCAACTGATTTTATCGACCTATTTTTAAGATTTTAGTTTATGCGTTGTATTTCTATAGATATAAAAAATACGTCATGCTTTTGGGTAATACATAGATACTTTTATTTTAGTTTGCGTTCTGTTAGAATTCTTATCTGTTAATGTTAAATATTAAATGGGAGAAAACTCATAACTATTTTAACAGAGGCTTATTCTTTTATGTTAAAAGATGTTTCTTCTATAGGTTATTCCTCGTCTGAGTTATTTTTATAAATAATTGAAATGCTTCGCTTCGAAAAGAACTAAAATAACTCTAATGACATCCACGGACAGATCCCCTACTAATCTACCGTTAGCCTTCAATGATCGATCGCAAATTTCAAGTTTGTACGCTTGGGATAAAACTGAAATTAACTTTGTAATCGATTGCAGGATTCTTCGAATAATTGTGGGCTTTGTTGCCTTACCCAACATTTTGTTAGATTATCAGAACAGCATCTAAATAACTTAAGGTGAACGAGGTTTCCAGTGAATTTACGTGTGTCCCAAAAAATAAACGAGTTGCGGAATTTCAAGTTCCTGGCATCCGATTTACTTTTACATCATGTTGGGGGAAAGAATTAGGGCTAGTTTTGTGGTTCACGATTTCTTCCATTAGATTAGCTTCTCTAGTTATGTTTTTTGGGTTATTTTAATAACAGACATTCAAGGAAGCTTGTAGAAGAGAATAACTGCTAAACATTAGATACTGAAGGTAAAGATTGTGTGGTTGTCATTGAAATTCCTGACAGTAAGGCACATACGCAGAGATTTGTCATTTGAAATGTATTCCATATTCCGTTGTATCGAAAATATACTGCTTTGTATTCTAAGTTTACCAAAACA